GTCCTGAGTCAACACTTGATGAAGAATGGCCCACCAATCAGGAACACTTGTTTGTAACTTACATGAATGAGAAATACATTTCTATGTGTTAAACCATGGATGTTGTGGCTTTGTCTATTTTAGCAGCTAGTGCTACCTTGAGACCCTCTTTGAATCCAAACACACTGTGCTTCTGTGGGTCTGGGCAAATGTGTCTGTGACTCTGTGGAGTGAAGCCTGCATGTGCCTCTGAGGGTCTCATTCACATGTGCATGGGGGCAATGCCTCAGGAGGGATGCTTGCAGGGAGTAAGTGCAGGAGGTTGCTTCTGTGGGTCTCAGCCACGTGTGCGTGGGTGAACATGAATAACACGTGTGTATGTATGTGCTCTTATAAGTCTAAACAACTGTGTGTACTTACCTGGATGGGAGCACACAGGCATACAGGCATGCCTTGTACTGTGTCTGAACATGTGTGCATACCCTACAGGTCGGAAAATATATGTGTGCCCTTCTGTGTACCACTGCATGGGTACCTTGGGAGCAGAGAAGTGCACCTGCACCTGTGTGGGCCATTGTAGGCCTGATTTTGTGTGTGTGTGTGTGTGTGTGTGTGTGTGTATGCACACCTCTGTGAAGGTCTGAGCACATGAACTTGCACGTCTATGGGTATGTGTTTCATACGTATTTTTCTGTGAGTGTGAACCAGTATGTTTGTTTCAGCAGATGAGCATGTATGTGTACACTGCTGTGGCACTGGGCACATGAGTGTGCATGAAAGTATGAGCTTCTATAGGTGTAAGGTTGGTGGGAGAGGTGCCGGTGTGTGAAGCTGAAAAAATTGTGTGTGTGTGTGTAGAACCCTGGGATGAGCACACAGCCTGCCTCTGAAAATGGTCACACCTGAATCCTTGTGAGTCTTAGTCCCCAGGTGCACTTTTGTGTAGCTGTGGGCATGCCTCAAGGGGGCTGGATGCACATGCTGGTCAATGAGTACACCCCTCTGCAGAAATGTATGTGTGCATCGTCGTAAGGATACTTACACACACATATCTCTGTGAGCCTGGTCACGGATATGCATTTCTGTGAGTACATATGTGTGCACATGTGCACTGTGGTAGGTCTAAGCACACTGTGTACTTGCCTGATCTTAACATGCATAAAGGTCTCTGCGGTTCTGAAACACATGTGAACATCTGCATGTCTGAACGCAAGTGTAGGATTCTGTGGTCTGAGCACGTGTGTGTGTTACACAGGTGGATCTGTACATGTGTGTGCCTCTGAGCTGAGCACAGATGTATAATCTGTGAGTCCGAGGATGTGTCTCAAGGCATATGTCTCACTGGATATAAGCACATATGCAAACATACTCAGGTCTGAACACAGATTTGTGTGGCCTGAGTGTCTGCAATACGCAAGTCTGTCTCTGGGTCTGAGTGTGTGTGTGATTCTGAACATTCCCCATCAGTGTCAGTAGATGTGTGTGAGTGTGCCTTAGTGGGTATGAGCATGCATGTACACATAGCTCAAGAGCACATGCAAGTGGCTGGGTAAGTTTGAGACACACAATATGTGTGTGTGCCTTGGTGCAACTGAACACATGTGCAAGAAACTCTGGGAGCTGAGTAGGTGCACACCTGTGCATCTGAGCGCCTCTGTGGGTATTTTTGGAGCTCTAAGCATACACATGCAAGAGTTGATAGCTCTGAGTACATGTATGTGCTTTTGTGAGACTGTGTACGTGTGCCTGAGTTTGTGCTTCTGTGAGTCTCAAACGTGTGTAGATGTGTGTATGGACTTCAGGGAGGCATAAGCACATACATGTCTCTTGGAGTCTGAGCATGTGTGTGCTTCTGTTGGTCTGGGTACAAATGGTGTGTGCTCTTCTAGGTTTGAATGGGTGTGTGTGTGGGGGGGGAAGTGGGCCCATGTGAGCTTGCTGGTGGGTGTGTAAATGTATGTGCAGGGCTGTATGTGTGCATGCCTCTGGTCATACATGTGCATACAGACACTGCCTCTGTGGGTCTCAGCCTATGTGTGCCCTTCCTACCTGTCTCAGGTTGTGCAAAGTCAGATTCCCTCAGGGGCCAGGCCCAGAACACAATGTGTAGGTTGGGCCAGCTGAGACAACTAGGAGTGGGTCACATTACCGGTGGTGCACACTCCCCTAAAGGCACTCCCATTCGAAAGCCAACCACAGCTAAAATAACCATGTAGATGATGGTCTCACCATGCAAGGGAGAAAGCATGGGCCAGGGTCTGTGGAGGAGCTCAGGTTAGGGAAAAGAGTGGAAAGGTACACAGGAATGATCCCAGACCCAGGGATAAGGATCTGCAATGTAGGAGAGGTAAAACACCCTAGGGTCTCCAGCCAGGCTGCCCCCACCTCTGACACTGGAGCAAAGGGAGGCCTGGCCATCTGCTGGAGAAAAGCCTCCTTGCACTGGGGGCCCGGGAAAGACTCTGGCTTAGAGGCTCTGGGAGGCATGGCATGGTCTACACCAGCCTGGGAGACCCTAGAGTCATTTTGGTCCTTGCCTGGTCTCCCACTGGGATGATGAGGATCCATCATTAAACCTTTCAGAGTGTGCAAATGTGAATGTGTAAGCATGCATGACACAGGTCTGGAGGAGAGGCTGTGGCTTCCGGTGGTTTCCTCTGGGAGCACCAGTGTGCACTATGCCCTCCCTCCTGGCCTTGTTTTTAAAGCTGGGTGCTGGGCTGGCTACCAGCCCCTCCTAATCCCAGGCTTCTAGACCTCCTCCACCCTTCATCCTGTACTTGGACCTTTTTCCAAGAGGGTGGCTCAGTGGTCAGTGACCTCACAGATTCCTGACTGTGGACCAGCTGATCGCCTGCTTCAGCTCCTCCTCACCCGCTGCCCTAATGCAGCCTAAAAGAGCTCAGACCACCAATGCACCCATTCAGAATCAGACCCAGGCCCCTGACTAGACTCTAAGCCAGGGCTGGGAGGCTAGAACTTCGATGGACACAGTATGGCCCAGGTGGGGTCCAGCGTGCACTTCACGTCCCTACATGGTGACCTTCTGGCCTTAGCCCTCCACAGGGTTCAGGGAAAGCAGGGATGACTCCTGTCACCCAGGAGTTCCTGTCCCAGAGTGTGTGAACATAGGCACCTGTGTGTAAACACATGTGGTGGTGCCACTCATTGCCCTTTCCTCAGGACCCACACAGACCATTGTCCCCAGAGCACCAGCCCAGGGCTTTCAGGAGGACACTCATTACAGCCACTTTCAGCAGACCCGAGCTAGCAGTGCCGTGCTGGCCACAGGAGCCACCAATAAGTGCCTAGAGCTCAGAGCAGTGAAGCAGGGCAGGAGGTGCTGTGTGTTGAAGCCACCAGATGCCCAGAACCCCCCAAGCAAAGGAGGCATCGGAATGTGCATCCCTGAGCCAAGATCACCTCAGGGGAAGAAGTGACATCAGTCAGCAGTGAGGCCTCCTAGAGTGGAAGGCATCTATCCCAGAAAGAACAGGCCCTGGGCTGTGGAAGGAGAGGCCTTTCTGGCCCAGCAGCTGGCAGCTCCCCTGAATGTCCATGGGCCCAGGCCTGTGGGAGTGACCTCTCTTAACTCTAGCCTACTTGGGAGACATGGAGGGCAACTGGGCTTTAGCTTCTGGATCTGGGAGCCTGTGCCCCAGAAACCCCTCTGCCCTTGGTTTTTGAAGCTGAGTCTCTGCCCCAAGGCTCCACAGGCCATGTTACGGTCCTGCTCTGTCCACACTCCTTCCAGGGCCGGGGCCCACCCTCAGCCTGAACATCTCTGGAGCTGGGATGTCTTTCCGGAGCAGATTCACAGGATGTACCAGGGCATACTGCCCACCTCCTGGCCACATCATCTCCCCCAACCCCGCAAGCACCTGCCCCAACCTCCAGCTTTCTGGTACCAACAACCCAGGTGCCACCCATTACAAGGTAATGGGGAGAAGTCTCCAGCAGCCCAAGCGAGAAATGTGGGTGGCCCTCCACTCCCACAAACTGATCTGGCAGCCACCAAGGCCCACGCTCCTCCACTGGGAAATCTGGCCACATCCAGTCCTTTCTCTGTTCCCTCTGCCAGCCTCAAGTATCCCACCCTCCCCCAGCTGCTCTTGGCCACCCCCAACCTGCTCAAATGAGCAGCCTTGGCACTTGCTGCACCACTCCACACCCCACACTTCTCAAGCAGCACTCAAGGCCCACCCCTGCTTTGCCAGCCTGGTCTCTCTCTGTGCCTGCACCCTTGGCTCCAGCAAGAAGTATTAAGCAGAGTCCTAGAAAGCACCCCTGGCCCCAGGCCCCAGGTCCTAGAAAGCCTTCGCTCCCAGCCCTGCTGTCCTCCTACAGCAGGTCCCCAACTAGAATCTGGGCTAGACCTCAGGCCCTAATCTCCTCCAGCAGACCACAAGTCCGGTCTAGTGGGGACCTCCCACCCAGCACACTATCAGATTCAGAACAGTCACTGGGTAGCAACTGCCTCGCCTTGGCCTAGCAGTCCTGGCAGTGTACACTTTGGGAACCCTTCAGACAGAGCCCAGGACACCTCCTGGCACCCAGGAGAAGAGGAGGGCCCAGGATACAGCAGAGATCTCCTCTACTAGTGGCCTAGAGAGCACCAGGCCTCAGGGGCAAGCAGGATTTGTGGTTCTGCACCCAAGAGCTGATGGGAGTTGTAGTTCCTAACCCAGGTTCACCCTCCCCCACCCCAAGGACTCATGGGAGCTGCAGTTACTCATCTTTCTAGGGAAAAGTCTCCCTCCTTCTGTCCCAGCACCCCTTGGCTCTCAACCCTAGGACCCCAAGCTATGGACCTCACTATCTCTGAGGGGCTGGGAACCAAAATGAATCCTACCAGAGAGCATTTGAGGGCCTGGGAGGATGTTAGGCAGTGGGAAACTATCAGGGAAAGCTAAGGCCTGGCAGCAGGCCCTGGGACTTGGGCCAGGTGACAGGGACAGTCGCCCCCCTCCCAGCAGTGTCGCAGAGGGCCCCGGGGCAGGGGAGGGGGGAAAGGCACTCACCAGTACTGGGCTCACACTCCTCCAGGTCCTCATCATCGCTGGGACACTCAGCCGAGGCTACCAGGAGGTCATCTGTGTTCTAGAGGGTGAGAGAAGGGGTGGGGAAAGAAAGGTTCCAGGCAAGTCAGCAGATCCCACAGCTGCCATTTCAGATGCATGGTGGCACAGGGGATGCCCCTGGGCTGAGATGGACCAGGCTGGTCTGAGTCCCAGCCCTCCCATCTCTTGCTGGCTGACCTCGGGCCTCCACTTCCCGCTATGCATAGGGAACTTCCCAGCAGCAGCCCTGCAGGTTTTCATGGCTTCCGAGGGTCAATGAAACAGTACACATGGTGCTTTTTATTTCTGGGAAGTGAGGAGAGTGGATACCAGACTTTAACCTGCAGGGCCAAGGCAAGGGGGTCTAGGATGCCTCGTTACAGGGGTGCCAGGGAGGCAAGGCCCTACAGGGTGGAGCCTACAGAAGCCAGCACAGGTGAAACAGGGACAGAACCTGGAGGGGCTTCCTGGCTCTAGCTTCACCACTCCATCACCCCTCATCTCTCTCCCAACTCCCTTTCCAGGAGCCTGAGAGAACCGGCCTGCACACAATAATTAGGGCTGTGGTTGCCATAACAACAGGAGTTGACTTTGTCAGCATTTTCTCTCCTACTGATTGCAAAGAAAGAGAATCCCCAAGATGAGTGAGTGTAAGGAGGAGGGGGGCACCCAGGGGGTATGAGGGAGGAGACCCAAGGAGGGAAACTGAAAGTCCAGGCAGGAAGGGAGCCTGAGAAACTCCGGGATGGGGAGGAGAGGGCAAGGCTGAAGGACAAGATGAGCAGGGTTGAAAGGGTCATAACTTGCCTCCTCCCCAGCCCCTGATCTTCAGACTGGACAGCCCTCACTCACTCAAGGACAAGGTGGTGCCTGGAGGACCCAGCTCCCTCTGCATTCTTGCCCGCTCCGAACCAGCCTCCATCTTGGGCTTCCCCACCACAGTAGTGTCTCCTGGGGCCCTCACCTCTCTCTTCCACCAGGATGATCTGCCCATCACCCTCCCACTGAGACCAGACAGCCTCTCCTCCCCTATGATTCAGAGGGCATTGGGCATGATGGGTACCCAGCCTTGGGTAGAGCCCAGACCTTTCCCCCAGGGCTCCCTGCTCCCTAGGGGCAAACTCTTCAGATCCCCTCAGCTTTCTTGGCAGAGAGGAAGTGGGTACAGGCTTGTCTCTCTGATCTGAACGGCCCCAGCTAGCCTAGTCCCAGTCTTCCTGCAGCACAGACTGGCAGGGAGGAGGGGCCTGGAAGCACACAGAGTCCACTGCTCAGAGGGAGAAGCTGAAGACAGACTGGTGGCACAGGGAAGGGTACATCCTTATGGCCACCCCCAGATCCTGCCCTCACCCTGGAAGGACAGAGGGTGCCCAATAGCCACAGGCTGTCAGACAGGACGATGGGAGAGAAGGGGTGACACCAAGGCCTTCGTGCCAGGTGTGAGCTCCGTGCTAATGGTCAGAGCAGGCACTGGAGGCAATAACTAGAAAACAGCTCAGCATGGGCTACCTTGAGAAGTCACACAGGCCTGTCCTGCTCCAGCAGAGCCCCATTCCCCAGGTGTAGCCCCTCCAGTCCTGCCCCATCACTAGGGCTTGACCTGACCCAAGAAGCACCTGAGCAGGGGAGGTGAGCACCAGGGAACCATCTGCACTGAGACCCCCTCAGACCCACTGAGAGGACTCTGGAGCCCCTGACTTGTGGTGCCTGCTCACAGTCACATGGAGAGGGCTCATGAAGGCAATGGACCTGCAGCTAGGGCTTTCCCACTGCAAGGAACCAGCACACAAGGACAGGTTCTTCCTAGCTTCCACCAGCCTCTGGAGAGGGACTGCCCACACCAGATGACTGCATCCAGCCCTCCCATGCTGTCACCTCTGTCCACAGCAGGGCCATGTCTGGTATCATCCATCTCCCACTCTGCCCACACAGAACACTAGGCATGGCCTTCACTGGGGAAGCAGAAGGAGCCATTCCACTCTCACCCCGAGTCCAGACTTCATCTCTCTTAGGTAGGGTGGTCTTCTCTCATATAACTGGGCCATCAAACTCCTCCTCAAATCCAGGAATGGTCCCTCTAGAAATAGTGGTCATCCCCACATCACAAGATACCTGGTCATTAAGGTGAAGGCCACTTACTGAAAGGTCACCTTGCCCATTGCCATGGCAACAAGGTCAGAGACAGCAGCCTCCAGGATCCCAATGACCCCTTGGACCCTCATCCTAGGCACCACTACTGTGGCTATGCAGCTATCAGCCCCATCCCCACCTATCCCTGCCCTAATCCACCAACTAGAGTGGGGCCTTACCTGGGTGGTGCTGTCCCTCAGCGTGGGGGAGCGGCCCCGGCGTGTGGTGGTAGTGGCCATGGTGGTAGTAGTCTCCATAATGGTGGTGGCCATGTCAGCCAGCAGGGTGGTGGCCGTGGTCTCCGCACTGAGCAGCACGGACGGCCCCTCCCCCACCAGGCGCAGGTGACCCTCAGTCCGCACATTGGGGTCGCTCTCGGCGGCCAGCGCCAGCACCTTAAGCCCATTGTAGTAGAGGCCGGACACCTGGCCCTGGAAGGGGCGGCCCTGATCCCGGCCCCCAATCTTGATGGCAGCCTGGCTGTTGAAGATGGTCAGCTGGCGGCCTGGGGGGAGGGGAAAGGGGTGACAGAGGAGGGGCAGGCAGTGAGGGGGAACCAGGAAGGGAAAGGAAAAGAGAAGGAAGCCAAGGAGAGGAAAAAAGAATGGAGGAGGAAGCCAGGAAGGGAGGAGGGGATGGGAAAAAATGAAGAAGGGGCAGACAACCAAAGGGAAAGTCCTTGTCAGCCACAGCCCCTAACCCAGCCAGGTGGGGACCCCAGAAGGGGAGGGCACCCAGGGCATACACTGGCTGGGGAAGGGGAGCCCAGCCCCTCCTCCCCACCATGTGCAAAGCCTTCCCACCTTCCCCAGTCCCTCTCCTCTGCAGCTCCAAGGCCATCGCCCTTCTTCATCCTCTTCCCTCAGTCCATCCCCATCTTCTCCCTCTGCTTCCCCACACATCCTGCCCCAGTGTCCAGCCCCAAGCCAGGAAGCCATGGAGCCCTTGGAAGAGGCAGAAGAGGAGACAAAGAGGCAGAGACAAAGGAGGCAGCTGCCAGGCCAAGGTGGAGTCAGTGCGTGTCAGAGCGGAGAAGGAGGTGAGACAGTGTGATGGTGTGTGGGAGCAGCAATCTGCCCAGGCTGGCCTCCCACCTAAGACCAGGCCCTCTGACCCCTGGCCAGGAACCCCTCTCTTCTCCTGGACTGCCAAGGCCCAGCACTGCCTGGGACCAGGCCCTGGAAAGTCATGCCCTTCCTCCCCACCTAGACGTGCAAGCACAGAAATGAAAAATGTTAAAGGGACCTTGCTTCGCTCTCTGACAGCCAAAAAAACCCACTCCAGCTCCAATCGCACCCCGCACTCAGCAGTACGACACCTCAGAATTCCCAGCTGGGTGGGGTTGGGCTGTTCTGTTTGTTTTTAGTGAATCTGGGGGTCAGTTTAACCCTCTGAGTTTGTTGCTTTGGTTTGGTTTTTAGAAAAGATGTTTATTATGTTTAAGTTTAGATTTAACTTTGGTTTTGGTGCTGCTTATTTTTTGTTGGGGAGGGGTTGGGCAGAGGGCCTACTACATTGCCCCATCTCCCCTGGAACCTTCAGCTGCTGGCACTGGGGGTTTTAGACCTGGCTTAGCACTTGTTAGCCTCTGGTTAGTGCCTCGTTAAAGATCTGGTTTAGAGTTAGGTGCCTATAAGCCTTGCCCCCCAAACCTGGGCTGAGGACAGTCCAACTTGTGAAGCCCACACCCTCTTTGGAAACAGGTTCTCTGGAAAACCCAAGGCCTCTGGGACATCCAAACATCCGTCCAGCCTCTGGCCAATGATGAGCACTGGTGTGTCTCCCCAGTCTCCACTCAGCCTTCCTTCCTCCTCCAGCACCCTCCCACCATCTACTCAGGCAAGGACAGCCCTAGGGCAGCAACACCCATTACCAATGGCCAAGAGCCCAAGAGGCAAAGGATCAGTAGTGGCAGCTCTGGGACAGGCCCTGGAATACCAGACCCAGACAGGCCCAGGAAGACCTCTGCATCAAAGTCTGTTCCAAGACATAAGACTCATGAGGAAAACAAAGGAGAGAAGGGTCACCATGGTCAAATGAGTTGGGGAAGCAAACATTTCACCATCGAACAGGTTTCTTTCTCCAAGGGCTTCTCAGAGCCTGCATTAAACTAATGCACACATGCATCTCCAAGAGGAAGAAACAGGATTCAGCACTTCTCAAACTCGTTCTACCACAACTTTCTCTATTGTGAAGCATCTCGTGGGACTGTTTCACAGGACATACTTTGGAAGTGGAAAATAGATTCATCCAATAAATATTTATTAAGCACCTACCATATGGTCAGGCACTGACAGTAAAATATTCCCTCTAAGCATCCCCAGACCTTGTCTTGGGATACTTTCCTGATGTTTCTTTCCTTTCACCCTCGCAACATGCCTGTGAGGTGGGCTGAGTAACCATCACTGTCCTGTCTTACCGAGAAGAGAGCTGAGTCTCAGCAAGGGGAATTACTTGGCTAAGGCCACACACAAAAAGTGAGTTCCTTCTTTCACACTTTGAGAACTATCTATCTAGCCCAGTGGGTTATTTTCTAGAAGAGGGAAGTCAGACCTAAAGGGAAAGGGAAGGAGGCCCCTGGCTCCCCGTCATCTAAACCACAACTCCTCCCCCAATCCCCAACAAGGCCTGTCCAGCTCTCCCTGCCCTTGGGGTCACAAGTTGTCGCAGCCTCAGCCCAGCCTGCTCCCTTGGCCTCTCTGATTCTGGAAGAGGGAGGTGGGTAATGGAGAGGAAGCCACAGTGTTAGTAAACTTGTTCCCTGTGGCCCCTGGCCCCATCCACCAGGAACTCCTCAAAGGGTTAAAGTTCACCCCGCTGGAGAGAACAGCCCAGTGTGGCTGGGGGCTGTAGGTTTTAGCGATGTCTGTTACAGTCCCTTTAACTTTTTGTCCTGTTATGGGTTTATCACATCTGGTTATCAGCAGGTTTAGGCCCCACAGGTGTGGGGGGCTAGAAGTTACATTTGGGGGTTTTAGTTGGGGAAGGCCCCAGTGGACATTTAAAAGCACAGTTATCAGCTGGTTAAGTGGAGGTTTAACAGTTCTACTTCCCCCCTAGAGTTTAGCCTTAGAGGTACAGAGCTCGCCCGCCCCCAAATGGAATGGGATGGATTTGCCCTTGGTCCCCAACTTCCCTTGGTGACAAGAAGTCTTCTCTCTCACATCCAGCAGCACCTCACCACACTTAGACCTCCCAAGGGGCTTAATGGGTCTTCCTCATCAGCCAAGAAGGAATAGAAATCCCTATGGGCCCACCACTTCCTGTTCTGCCTTCTTTAGCCTCTCCTCAACTTCTCAGAGGCCTTCTGGACTAAGGTGGACCTGTTCCAGAGATAGCAGCCCCACAGCACTCTCTTTGGGAGTCTTTCCAGTAGGATCTGAGGCCCCCACTCTTCTCTCTTCTCCTCCCATGGCTCTGGTGAAGCCTGCCTAACTCTCCTCAGATCAGTTTTCCTGCTTCCCAAAGGCTTCCCCTCTGCATGCTCTATGGTCCTCAGCTGGCCCTTTACCAAGCCTCCAAGATGATTCTGGGCAGAGGGAACCTACCTCCAGCCTGCATTCCCAGCCTGCTTGTGATTTACTGCAGGGCTTGCACTGGGGAGCTCCCATGGTAGGGATCTTGTGAATTACCCTAGTTGATCCCAGGTTTAGAAAGAAAACAGGACTCCCCCGCTTCTAAGGAAAAGCTCCACTTCTACCCCAGTACCATTCTGAAATGAACAGACAGACCCTTGACTCCAAAGGGGAAGGGAACATTCTGGCTGGCCAATTGTCCCTTCACTTGGGGGTGGGCGTTGGTGAAGGCACGGAGGGGGAAAGAGAGAGCTCTGCACCTTTAAGATAGTGTTTTTAAAGTTAATTAATTAATTAATTAATTCTGGTTAATTACCTTTGTCGAGCAGCCACTCATCTACTACTCGACCAAGCCGGTAGGGGATTCTCTGTCTAGCAATCGCCAGGCGCTCGTTATCAAAGTTTCCTTGGAAAAGTTTAGAAAGACAGTAGGTTTCTCAGGCGGCGAAGTCCAAAGGAGTTAGAAAAGTAATTATGCATTCCTCAGGAGACTCAGAGTAAGCAGCAACATCCACAGAAAGAGGGAAAGGAAAAGAAACGCTGGGCCCCTCTTCTCCCTTGACCCCCTCCCTAGCCAGCCCCACCCTGGGGGCAGGAACAACCCAAAGCAAAAGAGATGAGCAAAGAAGAAAAGAAAAGGGACATAAAAGAAAAGAAGCTGGAAGGTCAAAGGTCAGAGGTTAAACAGGTTTATCTGTGGTTAAGCTGCTGTGGCCCCCTTCCTTCCCCATCCCAAAGTTGGGGGGTGGGCGGGGGAGGGGCATTTAGCAGGTTTAAGTTGGGGGTAGGAGGCATCAATGGCCCAGCTGGTTCCTGCGTTTAGAGGGCAGTTTAGAAGTAGGAGGGATGGGTTAAGCGGGGTTTATGTGGCATTTAGGGGGCCACCCAGCACACTCCCAGAACAGTGAGATCTAAACCTCTTCTCCGGGCCACCTCAACGCCCCTTGCCTTGGTGCTCCACTTCCAACTTCCCCTCAATTTCCACCTAACACCACACCCTTGACCCCACCACCACGTTCCCCCTTAAGCCCCTCCTGCTCCCAACTCCACCGCTCACTTCCCGAAAGGCCTCCTCACCCTGGTCAGGGCTCCTTTCTACTGGGCAGCTGTGACAGGTGTGGCGCCTGGTGTGGGGGCTGGATCATCATCCAGCAGCCCCCTTCTCACCTCCTCTTCGGCCCCTTACTCCTCCCCTGCAGACATCCCCCAGCCCTCCTCTGCACCCTCCTCTGCCCCAAATGCACCTTGACTGTTTTCTGCTCAGAGCCCAGTTTCCTCTCCTTGCTGTCTCAGGGCCTCATCTTGCTCACCCTGCCAGGCACTCAGCCCTTCTCCTCCAGGCTCCTCCCCACCAGTTCCAGCCCCCATCTCTTCTCCAAGCTTGGCTTCCCATCTGGATACCCACCTGTTCCTCTCTCCGCTCACCAATCTCCAGCCCCTGGAGACTGGGAAGGAGAATAGTGTGAATGTGTGTGTGTGTGTGTGTGTGTGTGTGTGTGTGCACGCCTGTGTGAAAAGGGGTTTGTCAGTGCACCTGAGAGGATCTCTGGTCCTCTGTGAGCCGTGGGTGATCCTGGTCTGCAGCAGTGGAAAGGGAACTGATTTCCTTTGAGAATCTGGCCACTTCTCCCATTTAAAACACTGACGTACTATTCAGTGCACGCTGGTGGGACCAGGAAGCTTTTCCTCTCACTGCACAGCTGTGCTCACCTGCCCAGAGACCAGGGCCTGGCCCTGCCTGTCTACACCTCCCATGAAGGGGCACTCAACCTGTTCATGTGGGTATGGATGGTGCCTCCTTAGGTGCTTATAAGGCAAGGAGACTCTGCTTTCCCTATAGATTCAGGATATTTATGTTTAAGTTAAAATCAGGTTATTCAATCCTGGGTGTATGTCTCCAAGAGGAAGAGAAGAATGTACACCTGCCTGGAGGGAGGCTGAGTATATAAAAATTTTTTTTTTTTAATTTTATTTTTATTTTTTCTTTTTTTTTAATTTTTTAATTTTTTCTGTTTTTTCTTTTTTTCTTTTTTCTTTATTTTGTGTTTTTGGTTTTTTTTTCTTTTTTTATGTTTCTTTTTTGTTGTTGTTGAGTATATAAAAATTCTAACAAAAGTCCTATTTACTGAGCGCCTCTGCCACGCCATGCCACTCTAATGTTTTACTTAGATTATCTCATGGGAATCTCACAATATTGCTATGAGGTAGGTCTCATCACCTTTCAGAGGTTAAAACTGAGATTCAGAGAGCCTAGATGGCTTGTCCAATATCACATGCTTGTCAGTGGGAGATCCAGGATTAAAATCCAGGTCCTGCTGATTCAGAATCCATGGACTGTGCCTCTGTGCTCCCAAGGAATCAGAGGGTACCCCCTCTCTGGGCCCATGCATACTGCTGATCTGACCTGCTGATATTGCTCAGGATCTGCCCTCAGTACACACATTCAACCACCAGGCCCTCATGTTACTCCCCTTTACAGGCAAGAGGCAGCCAGAGCCTTTCCTCACCCCTAATCAGGAGTCCCTGAGGAGAGGAGAGCAGGCATAACTCCTCCACCCTGACTGCTGGCCTGCTGGGCTCCAAGGAATGAAACTCTAGATCCAAGTCCTGCCTTGACATGGTGAGGCCTTCATGCTTCCAAACCCAGCCCTGTCCAGCACAGGCCAATGGCGTCACTGCTACAAAGGTTGCCCTAGTGTGTGTGCATCGGAGAATGAGAGAAGTCTGCTGCCCACAAGGATCATGCCTACACAGCCCAAGCTGTCAGTGTTGGCTTGCTGGAGGATGAGGTGGGTAGGAGGAATTTAGTGTAGGAGGGTTGGTGTGTCTTGCATGTCCCTACATGTACCTAGGGCCTTGATGTACGCTGGCATCCCTCTGCAGAGCTGTTTTTTCATGTGTCTGTCTGACCGTGTCTGTCTGACCATACAAATGTCTGCAGTTGTCCATGTGTCTAGGGTTGACTTGTGTGTACATCAACCTGTGTATTTACTAGAGGGCCTCTTTATCTCCAGGGACTTTACAGCAATGTCTGGGTACAAGCATGCATAATTGGTATCATAAGCCTGTACTGGCATCTTTACTCCATCACAGGTGAGCCCATGAGGGTTTACACACTAGCCTTTTGTCCCTGCCCCCCACAGTTAGCATGGGGCAGCTTCTCTGCCTTGGCCTGGCTATCTCTCCACCTGAGGGAGTAATGGAGATTGCAGATACTCACTCTGCTTCTCAGTCAGGCCCTGTGTGTGACTGCAATGTCGCTCAGGCCATATCTCAGCATCTCTGTGTTTCTACAGTTCTCCCTGCAGCGTTTCTGTTTACCCTCCTTCTTTATCTCCCATGCTGGGGCTCTCCTCTGCTCCCTCCCAAGGCTCTGTCCACCTCTTCTCTCCCTGGGTCTGCATATCAGCATCTCCATCTATCTCTCCGAATCTCTCCTCGCCTTTGCATATGGCTCAGTATTATTTCCACAGCTTCCCATTGCTCCCCCACTGGTTTCCTCTTATTCTGAGGCTCTGTCTCTGCCTCCCTCCAAATCTTTCAGGGTCTCTACCTCCTCATTTCTTCCATGTCCTCATCTCCGTCCCTCTCCTGAGCTCCTCAGACCTTGGTTTGTCCTTGGCCACCACAGCTGTCACCCTGTTGAACTGGGTCTGTTTGAATTCTCAAGGCTCCCTGCAAACAGGAACTGAGTCCCCAGGACCTAGCACAAGCCCTGCTGCCTAAGTACGCTGTCAACAAAGGTTGTTGAATGCATGTGACGTGACCGTGTGTTTCATTTTTGTGGTCACTTGTCTCTCCCTCCCTTTCACCATGTCCCTCACTGCCTTGGACACTGGGGGTCCCTTTCTCTGAGTCTCTGTGGCTACTTCTCTTCCTTCGCTAGATCTCCTAACCTGGATTTTTGACTTACTCTTTATAAGGACCTTGGGTCTTTTCTTGGTTCTGCCCTTGGTAACAGCCCTGTCTCCTTGCCAAGACACGTTTTATGTTACTTCTGGATTTTCTCTCCTGTTTCTGCAACTGTCTCCCTCATTTCTGAACTCATCCTTTCTTCAATCGCATCAGACTCTCCTCAGCTCTACCCTCTCTCCTTTTCTTTCCCCTCCCCGAAACTGGACCCTGGCCTTGCAGCCTTTTCTGCTTAGCCCTGCACCCTCCCCCATAGTTGGCTCAGGCCCACCACAACGGTCTCACTCCGCCCGGCAAATCCCTTTTCTTAGCCACGCCCCTGCCCTAGTCCCGCCTTGCAAGCCTTGTCTCTCCAGGAGCCCCGCCCCACCCCGCAGCCGAAGCTTCTCCGCTTAGCCCCGCCCCAGCGCTGGCCGCACTCCTATCAGAGGCCGCCACCCGCCCCGCCCCGCCCCGCCGCCGCACTTCCTCCGCGGGCCCGTGCCGCCTACCTGCCGGGTACCGCTCGTTGACCGGCCAGCTGTCCACCTGCAGGGTGGCGTTGCCGCCGCTTCGAGTGAAGCGCACCACGTGGTATTTGCCGTCGCTTACGATGGCGTTGGGCTCATCGATGGTAATGTCGTCCGTGCCTACGTTAAAGATCACCCCCACGGTGCCCTGGTCCTGGGGACAGGGAGGTGGAGGTCAGCGACCGGAGGGAGCAACCATTCACCCCTTCTAGTGGTTACTCCTGTGGCCACCACCAGCCCAGCTCCGCAGCACTTTACAGCTTTACAAGGCACCTTTCCCAGGTCTCAACCGCTGGAGGAAGTGGGCAGGCTTGCTCCCCTTCCCTACTTCTCAGGGAAGTAACCTGAGGCCAGAAGTGGGGGCTGGCCTGGGTCCGGAGGGCCTTCCACTAACCACACCTGTCTCCTGCCTTCCGGTTTGTCCCGGATATTCACAAATATTCGTAGAGCACCTACTCGGTGCAAGGACCAAGCTAGGGACCAGCTCGGGGCATGGAGGGCAGAGGCCTCCCTAAGGCACGACCAGCAGAGAAGTCCACAGAAGCCGGCCTCTGCCAGAGGAAGGTCTAACCCCCAGCCCCTCCCCAGTCCCCAGCCTCCAACCTCTCCTCCCCAGGATGCTCTGTACCAAGCAGGCCCCCAGGGGGCTCCCACCTGCACCAGAGCATCAGAACTGCCTCTCCTGGCAGCCTCTCAGTTCCAAAGTAGGTCAGGCTCTGAGTGTGGGGGTGGCCCCTCTGCAGCCATTGGGGTGGAGGTAGGGAGTGTAGACTGTGTGGTTGGTGGGATGGATGCCCGAAGAGTTGAGGGACAAACTATGCTAGACTGACCATGGAAAGGGGATCACGGGGGTGTCAGGGTAGGGGGTGGAGCTAGGGGCTAGGGAAAGACAGGCAGAGGACAGACAAGGACTGAGGCCTGGAGAAGGGGAGCAAAGACCCTAAGCAATCTCTGGGACCCAGGCCTAGGGATCACCCTGCAGAGACTACCCAGGATCAGCCCAGGAAGAGTTCTGCCTGTGGTGCTAGAGTGAGAGGGAGGGCTTCACCAAACCCCTAAATCATGCCAGGCTCTGTGTTGATACTGTGCATGCATGCCACACTAACCCGCCAAGGAAGCTCATAGCTCCCCATTTCATCAAGAAAGAAACTGAGGCTCAGCATAGTTAAATAACATCTCAAAATCTTGCAGCTCATGAGAGGGAAACTCCAGATTTGAACCCCAGCTAGTCTGACTTCAAAGCCAGTGTTCTCTCCCTTTGCCCACCAGTCTTAGAAGACCCTGACTCAAAGAGGTACGGGTACGGGATGATCAAAGAGCCTGCTGAGGCCAATCTACCTCTAAGACCAAAGGCATCTAACCAAGCCAATGAAGGCCCACTGGGTGCTAAGCCTGAGCCCCTGCTTCATTTCTCTGGACCTCCTAGCAGCAGTCCTGAATGCAGCCTCAGCCCTCCTCCCACAGGGAACAGACACCCACACAGGTTCACTCAGGCCCCCTGGCTCACACACTGTCAGGCACCCAACCCATCATAGAAACACACTCTACTCCTGCAGTCTTCTGAAAAGACTGCCCCAGTCTGGCCTGAGCATGAGGAACATTCAGCTGCCACCTCCTTCCTTCATCTAGCAGAGCTGAGAGGCTTGGTGGCACTGGGGGTGTCAGCAGTGGCGGCTCACAGATGGGGCAAGGGTTGGGGTTTGGCACAGAGTTGGGGGATAAGGTTTGCATAGGCTCACTTTGAGACCTATGTCCTATCCCTTTCCACTTGTGGGGTCCAGCTGTCTCCTTCCCAAAACCTGGGAAAACCACATACATATATGCTTACACACACACACACACATTCATGCACACACACATTCATGCACACACATGCATTCATGCACACACACATGCATTCATGCACACACATGCATTCATGCACACACATTCATGTACATACACACATGCATTCATGCATGCACACACACATGCATTCATGCACACAGTCATACATGCATTCAGCCTCTCTCCTCAGATGCAGTAAAGCCGGGAAACTGAGGCTGGGCTTGCCTAACAAAGAGTATTAGCAAGCCCCACCCATCCACCACCCACAGACTGACAACATCCCCAGGGAGACGGGCTGATCATCTGCTCCCCACACACGGGAAGGGAACAGTCGATCCTCCTCGGTACTATTGTTAGTAATAATATCACCCAGAATAGTATCAGCTCCCTGGATTCCTCTGAGGATTTCTCCCCACAGGCTCAGCCCAAGTGATGGCGGTCAAGGAGCACATGCAGTCTGGGAGCCAAGCTGGCAGAGGGCCGGCCAGGGAGCTGGGAGACAGGACACCTGGGTTTCCTAGGAGGCAGCCAAGCTCAGGGCCCTGCACTCCGGGGGAGAGGCAGCTCCCCAGAGCCTCTCCCAATGTGAAGTCAGTTGTCACTTCTGTTAAAGTCATTAATTCCTAATTCCCCAATTACCTCATTAGGCGGCGGTGGGGAGAACGCAGCCGCTCCTACAGCAAATAATTATGGGAGTCAAAATTAATTTGGCAAAGTGGAGCGACGCTTTATTAGAAACGTCAAATTGCTTTTCTCTTATTTTGCTGCCGCCTCCCCACTCTCTGAGAGCTGCTACTGACGCTGTGGTGGGAGCTGATGTGTCACCCAGGGAGGAAGGGGCTTGGGGGCTGCTCCCAAGGGGCCTCAGCCTGTCTGGTGCCCAACTCCCCCGTCAAGGCTGGCTCCTCTCATGGACCCCCACCCTTGCCAGGCCTCTTCACCCTCGGGCAGGCCCCCATCTTCTCTGCCCTCTGCAGTACCCAGCACCAGTACTTGTTCCTCTATAGCTTTTCACTAGGTGAGGCCTGTGCACAACTGTTGGGAGGGAAAAGGAGGCAATCGCTTCTCCTCACACCCTGCCCCCCTTGTCTTTTGTCCTCAGTACTGAAGGAACGCTATACCCTAACCTAACAGGCACAAAGGCACACAGTCCTGCCCAGGAAGCTGATGAGAGATGGTCAGGATACTAGCTAAAACGGCATGCTCGCTACGTGCTTCACATACATGATCTTCTTCAACCTCCCAACATCCCTCTGTCCTCTTCCTATGCCACTCCACAGATGGGGGAACGGGTCAGACAGCTGTGGTGACTTGCACAAAGACAGAGCAAGGAAGTGGCAAATTGGGATTCCAACCCAGACCATCTACTGCAAGCTATGCAGAGCCTCGCATGAGGGAGAAGAGCGAGGAGGAGCAGCCCTCACTCACAGAGGACAGAGGGAAACCCAGTCACACCCCGCCACCCAGAAAGGCAACTGAAACAACTGCAAACACTACTCCATGGGGAAATACACATCTATAGATACACTCCATCAGCTATCACGAGACCCAGTCTCTGTCTTCATCCCCCACTGTCACCGCCGTCACTCCTGACACACATCACCGTGCATCCAGTCCCACACTGTCGTCTGCAGCTACACTGTCTCTCACACTACTGGCTGCCTCTTACCATTCTAGATAACTGCCTGTCCCGCTGACACTGGCACAGAACTGCTAGGCCTCTTCTTGGGCGTGACTGCTGTTCCACTTGCTAGTGCTCCTTCTGCACCCCTTCCTCATCTGCTGCCACTTCCACCCCAGCTCTGCTGTGCCCACAGGAAGTCTCCCCTCATACTCCTTCCTTCACACTCTAGTGATGGGGTGGGGTGGGGTGCAGACCTGGGATGCTTAAAAGCTACTGTTTAATGAAGGCCAGTGACTGTGTTCCCAAGCAGGTAAGAAGAGATCAGAGCCCACACAGCCTCTTCCCTGGCTTCCTCTCTCCCCTTCCAGCTAACTGCCCTCCTGAGAGCCAGGGGCCCTCACCCAGAGCCTTCCAGCCCACAGAGCCTGGCCAGCCTGCCTGATCCCCACAGCATAGGAGTTCCGGCCAGGGTCGACATGTGAAATACAGGCAGGGAAACAAGGTGGCTGTTAGGGGTCAGGAATGTACAGATAAAGACTGAGGGCAGAGGCTTAGGATCGAAGACTGTGGTGAGGGGTCAAGGGAGAGGGTGAAACTGGAAATGAAATGGAGCAATACCAGAGGTCATAGGGAAGGGTGCGAGGCAGAGTCACAGACAGGAGAAAGGGCAGGGAAAGAAAAGGGACCACCTGCAGACTTGGGTTCAACAGGACACAAAAAAGTGAGTCAAGGAGCTGCAGATATGGTAGAAGGCCCATAGGTAGACCCTGGGAAGGAACCAAGGTCAAGGCGGGCAGCAGGCACAGGGAAGGGGCTAAGGCCACGGGTGGAGCTGAGCAGAGAAAGGCAGAGCCAGGTGGGACCCGAGATCAGGGTGGGGATGTAGGGCTGGGCCAAGAACTCAGTGAGGAGTGAACCCAGCCAGAGAGACTGTAGGGGAGACAGGGTAAGGGGCTGCTGGGAGGGCAAAGGTCACAAAAGCAGAAGTCAAGGGCAGCCCAGAGGTGGGGCAAAATCTAGAGGCAAGATGAAGCTGCAAGGGTGGGCTGCCCTGGGGCAGGTAGGTAGGAAGGAGGGGCAGGAATAAGTGCAGGACACAGTGGGCTAGCCTAGCTGGTCTAGGAGTGAGCAGGCAGCAGCTCAGAGGAAGTCACAAATGAGGGATATCTCCTAAGGCTACAGGAGAATGGCCCAGAAGGCCCAAAGAGGCCCTTGACTGTGTTTAGGAAGGTCAGAAGACGCAGGTGGTCTCAGGGAGTAGGGAGCTCGAGGTACTCGAATCAGATGCGAGGGTGGATCTGGGAGTCTCGGTGAATAAATGAGAGGAGGGAAGGGTCTCAGAAGCAAAACTTCTTAGCAGGAAGCTCCAGGGATGAAGGAACAGAGGTTCTGAGGGGTCCCCATGAGGGAAGACTTGAGGTGTTGATCCCATGGCAATGACGGACTGAACTGATTTGGAAGCAGGATGCTTTGGGTTGAAGGGCTGGGGCCCAGGGTCCTTACGATGTGCAGCTGCAGGTAGTCTCCAAGGCCAGAGGCGCTGTCCACTCGTACCAGCACAGCACTCCGCTGGTGGGTGCTGAAGCCCACGGCCAGGCGATCCATCCTTGTGCTGGGCCTGTCATTGGGGGGCCACGTGTAGGTGATAAGCGCTCCCCCCTTCCCAAAGATGTATGTGGTCCCGGCTGCAGAGAGAAAGGGAGACAAGGAGAAATGACATCAGGAGGACGAGGTCAGCAGGTCCTCAGGGTTGTGACCAGAGGACTGGAACCCCAGGTCTAGATGTGGGACTTCAACTGTGATACCCACAGCAGCCACCAGCCCTGCAACCCCAGGGAGCAGTTGGAAGGCGGGTGCCTGAGTGAGAGCCTGTGCACGCGCACAGACAGATGTAGCTGCCTCATCAAGAATTCTAGCTTTAATTACAGCAAAATGGAGAGGTAATAGAGTGACACAGAGACCCCAGAGAGAAGCTGCAAGGAGACCGAGAAGACAAGAGTGCTGTGGGCAGGAAGGACCCAGGGGGTCCGGTCCTGACTGGCTTCACTTCTCCCAGGCCTGGCAGAGGTGACAGATCCAAGGTATGTGCTTCTTTGGGGCCAGAGCTGAGCAGGCACCAAGGCACAAAGGAGCCCCAGGTGATGGTGGGACGATGAGCAGAGCTGTGTGCAGCTCTGACTCATGGTCAGAGCTGGCGCCCTCCAACATCTCCCCATCCTCATCCCTCTCCTGGCTTGCACAGGACTCCCTGCTTCCGCCCTAACCCAGGGGGCTGCCTGGGTCCCAAAGCAGAAAGGTGCTGGAGCCCTGCCCAGAAAGGAAGAGAGAGCCATGGGGTGGGGAGGGTGGGGGGGGAGGGGAGATTGACAGCCAGAGGAGGAAGGAGGCAGAGAGACAGATGGACAGAGAAGGACAGAGAGGGGTGTAGGTGAGAGAAATGGGAGAGTGGGAGCCGGAGATAAAGGCTCCTTCTCCCAGCCCTCCCCCACCCCACCCTCTCTCCCCTTCTCCCTCTCTTCTTCGCCAGCCGGCTGCTGGGGGCGGGTGTGAGGTCCCTAACGATCTCAGCCCCAAAATAAACCCCATTAGTCGCCATGTTCCCTCCTGCGGCTGACTGAGCTCCCTGGGGGTGGGGGTGGGGGGGCTGGTCACCCAGTTTCCCGGAAAGGAGCCTTGTCTGGGAGCCCTGGAGGACTAGTACTCCAGGGCCTGCAGAGAAGGGAAGGGAAGAGAACAATCTTGCATTCTTTAGAACATAAATGGAGCAGATGAGATTCATAAAACGCTTAATTAAATAATTAGCCACTAACGACTCCTCTCAAAGCACTTCTTGTGGGGAGAGGGGTTCAAGGGAGGACTTAGAAAAGGAGAGAGACAGATGAGGCCTGAGGGCAAAAGCCTGGAGGGAGAGAAAAATGTCAGTCTGGGGATAGGAGAAGTCGGTTCAGGAACTGGAAGCCTTTGTGGGCAGGAGGGCCTCCAGCACTTCTAAGGAGCAGGCTTACCAGCAGCCAAGGTAGTGGCCCAGCTGGTAACACCAGGCCAGGTTCCTCAGGTACCTCGGGGTCTCTCAGCTCAGGGACTTGAACCCCCTTGTAGTTGGGGCAATCAGGGGTGAGGAGGCTCCATCCCAGGGATCTCCTAGGACCCCAAAGGAGAGGGGCTGCCTAAGTGCCTTGGGGGAAGCCACCATCTGCAGACCCAGGGAGGGGCTGAAGAGAGAAGGGAAGACTGCTGCCTGGTTCCCAAAGAGGCAGTGAGGCCAGCAGGGGGTTAGGGGAGGCAGGAGCTGTGGGCCCCTTTGCTGTTCCCCAGAGCACCCACCATCAACACCTTCCATCTCCCCAGAGTGAGAAGTGACCTCAGGAGGAAGGGCAGGAGGGAAAGAACCACCTGGATGTCTAATAACTGACATCTCATCCCTGCCTGTGGCCAGGAAAGCACCCTCAACAAACAGAGGGGTCTTGGCTCTGCCCTCTCCAGACTCAGGTGTCCTTTCTACCTGAGGACCCTGTAGGCACAGTGGTAAGCACTGAACCCTCAGGATGGGGCCCCAAACTGAGTGTGGAGAGTTGGCTGAGAGTGGGGTATGCAGTGAGCCCCACCCCCACCCTATGTGGTCACCTGCCTGGAAGGGCAGGGCCTGGAGGTGGGGAGCCCAGTAGGCCTCAGCCTTAACAGTCTCTCCACTCCCAGCACTGCAGCACTCCGGAAAATCGGCTGTTTCCATGGCAACCGTAATACCCAGGGTCCTCCTCCCCCCTCCACACAAGCTGCATATCTGAATTTGCGGGGTGGGGTGGGCCAGGGGAGCAGAGATGCTGACCTTCCTCCACACACATTCCTACCCTCACCTCCTTCATCACAGGCTGCAGCCTATTCACCCCCAAGCTCCAGGGCCTCCCATTCAGAGAAGGCTTTATTGGGTTTCTTGGTCCCTTAGACCAGGGAAGGAAACCCAGTCTACCTGCAGGCTGCCTCCAAATCCCCCCCAGTCTAGAAGAAAAGAGGCCGTTTCTCTTCACTTTCCCACCCCTGATCCCAGACAGCAAACACATCACCATGTTCAGAACCCTGTTGGTGCCCAGAGAGGGCAGGAGGAAAAAGCAGGCCTAATGCCCCATTGGGCAATGAGACAGGAGGGATCAGAGGCGGTGCCCAGCGCCCAAGCCCCAGGCCCCACACCCACACAAAGGCTGCGACGCACCCAGCTGCACACAAAGACCCATCGTGGAGAGGCAGACCCCAGACAGGAGGCGAAGCAGCCAGGAAACATGGCAGTGAAGGCACAAAGACAGACCATAGAAGGCGGCCCCAGGGCAGGGGCTGGCCAGGCGCGGGACAGGGCGCACACAACCCCGCCAAGGCCCGGAGCACACAGGCTGCCCAGCCCAGACCTCCCATGGGATTTATCACCCAGCTGCTCTCACACTGCAGCCAGTTTATTAGGCTGGGCGGGCCTGTAAAGCCTAAGGGCGTTTATTACACTGTGTGGGGACGGGGCGGAGGGACACTTCTTGGTCAGAAGAGGTGAAGGATGAATGGTTTATTGGACTGGGGCGGCAGTAATTACCCTGGGGAGACATTTCTCTCCCCAGCACCACGGCCGCCTCCTGAGCGCAGAAGGCTGAGGTTTGGAAGGAACGCGGAGCTGGGAGGCGGGGCTTCCGCCAGGCCCCTCCCGCGCTGCGCTCCGGAGGCGCCTACAGCCTCTCACCCCTGCAAGCTGTCACCGGTCCTGCCCACAGACTCCCCCAGGGAAGGCACAGCGCCTTCTAGGAGACACAGAGCCCAGAATAGGGCACCACAACTAGAACCTCTGACAGGCTCCAGAAACGGTTTGAAAGGCAAGAGGGGCCTAACCCGAGGCCCAAAAATGTTGGCCAAGGGTGGTTTACACCAATTGTTTTTGACCTCCCTAGGAAACCACTAGTGAGCTGAATTGTGCATAATGTTTCAGAGAGTAGAAATGTTATGCACAACTCAGACCTGAAGCCTAAGACAAGAGAGCCTCTGGCCAGACCCAAGATGCCACAGGCCCAGGTTGGCACCTTCTGCCCACACCCAATATAGTCTTCTCAATACCTCCTAGACCCAGAAATTCACTGTTCCAGTGAAACACTCTAAATGTTCAAGAATCTTCCATGCAGTCCCACACACACCTGCATTCTAGAAAAATAAAAACCAACCAACCATTAATAATGGTTAGCTAACCCAGACCCAAACAACATAATCATCCACGTAGAAAACCACCCATGCAATGATGCCCCTGTGGTTAAAACTACATGTGCAGAACCTCTGCCTGCCTGTGTCCCTGCAGCCTCAGAAGCCATGAAAAAAACCTTTTGGAAGATCTAGAATTGTGAGAGGATAAAACATCCTGCACAACCCAGAAAAGCCATGGCCGGAGTGCTCACAGCCCACACCAGCGCTTTCTACATGAACCTTTACATCCCACATGGGGAAGTCTCTACTGGTCCAGACGCCTGTGCTCAGCTGTCTCCTGATCAAGGATCCCAGAATACAGGCTTTCATTTCTTAACCATAAACCATCCAGTCAGAAATCCAAGTAAACACACCCTGTTCAGAATCAAAATAAATGCTAGCCCCCTTTATGAGCTGGAGTGAGAAATCTGGAACGCATGGAAGCTACTGAGTCAGAACTTAGCAGGGATTGACCATTTCATTCCCAGCTCAAGAGTACCAGAAATGAACATGGGGGGTTGGGAGGAACCTCAAGGACTCTGAAACCAGAACTGGGGGTCCAGAGCCAGAAGAGTGTCACCCCTGGGCTCAGCACATTTTCAGGACCCAGATGTCACAGTCCTCCCATGCCCAAGACAGATTATCAGGTACAAGAGTGGCAATGGGTGTCTGGTAGGTAGGGACATTATGTAACAGGAGAGGTTAGGGGATGGCAGGGTAAATGGGGGATGTATGAAGAGAAGAGGGGATCAAAGGCAAAGAGAAACACAGACTCCAAAAGAAGGCAAGTGGAGAAGCTGGTGCAGGAAGGAGAAAGGGTGCCTCCCACTGGGGATACTAGGGAGACACTGGGCAGAGAGGAAGCCTGGCCTGGAAAGGCCTCCTGAGCTGTCCTGGTCCTCTAGCCAAGTGTAGGGTCCAAGAAGAGCCTGTCTTTTCACCTTCACCACCATGGTTAACGGTTAACAGTTAACGGGAGGTGACGGTTAATGGGTTAAACTTTCAGCCAAGACAGGTGGCCTTGTCCCTTGGTCTTGTCACTTCTCCTCCTCCTTTCCTTGGGTCCTCATCCTGCCTCTCAGCTGCCCCACCCTTGACAGGCTCCTCCCCCACACCTCTCACCCCCTTCCATCACCATCCAAGAGCACCCACCAGCCAGCTCCTCCTGCTTCCACTAGGCACTGGCCCTCTTTCTCCTCTGCACAGCAAAAGGGTAGCCATCTCTGAGGCGATCCCAAGGCCAACATTCCATACCCTGCCCCCCATACTCTTCTGGCCACTTTCATTTCCTCTGTCCAGCTTTTGCTCCTTCACAGAATCTTCCTTGGGCACTCTGGCTCCCAGGCCCTTCTGACAATCTGCTCAGGGTCCTTCAGCCAGTTCCTCTCTCCTACACCTTTCTCTCCCACCCTCTTTTCATCCTGCAAAGCTCCCCAGTATCCCTGACTTCCTTTTCCTATCTCACCCCTTTAGGCTTTGC